GATAAGTTTAACTGTGTTAGGCAAACATCTAGCATTCATTCTAAGTTTAATTAGGGCTAACCCTGATTAGATTAGATGTTTGTTTGTTTGTTGTACAAAACCATCCTGTTGGACTAACTAGATCAGTGTTTCTCAACCTCAACAGCTTTAAGATGTGTGGACTTCAGCTCCCAGAATTCCCCAGCCAGCTATGCTATTCTGGGAGTTGAAGTCCACACATCTTAAAGCTGCTGAGATTGAGAAACACTGAACTAGATGGTGCAATGTATTGTGAGGATGCTGGCAATCGGTTAATTCAGTGACCAGGCTAGAAGCATCATGGGAAGACAGCCAAAACTAGGAAACAAGAGGAAAAGGAGTTTTAAAAAACAAGAAATCATGTTGATGGAAGGCTTTGCAAAAGACATTTCCATGCTACATCCCGTGTGGTTCTCAACAGGAGTTTCTGCAGGGCGTGGTCAGAAAAGTCAAGATGGTAGCCACGATGATGCAATTGAAGCTCCACCTGTTTTTTGACATGTATTGACCACCGTCCTGACTGTTTTGACCACAACTGGCGGACGACCCCAGTTCCTGGACCGGAGAAGGTGGTGTTGGCGCTGGGCAGCATCTCATCTCCAAGTCAACTCGTTACGCCTCCTAAGTCCACCACTCCAGCCTACAGACAGTAAGAATTTGGGCCGGCTCGTACAAGAATGTACGTGAAATGCTTTTAACATGCTGAAGGCCGACATAAATGGCGTTGATCCCTCTCAGCACGATGGAGAGCTTTGCAAAAGACCATAAGCAAAGGAGAAGCCCCTGTCCCCCCGCCCCCAGAGCTTTTAATCCAAAATCAAGCCAGATTTGGGGGTGGGCCAAGCAAGAGAGAACAGGGGGGGAGGAGCCCATGTGTTTCCCTACCTCCAGCCTGCCGGGATTTTTTTTCTTGCCCCCCCCCACATCCCCCCTCCTCTGGGAAGACCCGCAGCTTCAGTGGGCTGGAATTCGCTCCCCAGCAAGGTCTAATTAGCTAATTCCGTTGCTATTTTTAAATCGGCATGGAAAGACTCTCTCTTTCATTTGTTTACGAGCCCCATTCCTCTCCGGTAACGTAGTGAAAATGCCAGGCGTGGGGAGGGTCGCTTGGGCTCCATCGATAAATCAGCGGTGCCGGGAGGTCACGGACACGCTTGCGGGGGCAGCTCCCGGTCCTACCAGCTACCCAAAGTCGGCGGGGCCCCACTTTGGACCGTAAATACGAAAGGCTCTTTAGATGGTGGCAGAAATTAGCAGGAGGCTGGTGGCACCAGATGTTGGACCACCGTCGGCCACCACGGCTCTCCTCCTGCAGGGTCTACGCAGAAGCAGGTAATTCTCTAATTGCGATTCCTTAAAAATAGCTCCTGGGCACGAAAATGAAGGACCCCCAGAGCGATCGCTCAGCCGTCCTTCTGCCTCCACCCTCTCCGTAAACCTTTCCAACCTGAATCTGGTCAAGTGATGAGCGGAGCGTTAGACTCAACGCGAGCTACAAGGTCAACCCCACGGCCTCCTCCCTTTGTAAACCAAGCTTGACCAGGGAGGGGTCAAAAAGGTCAAGGTGGGGGCCACAACCATGCAGTTGAAGCCTCACCCCCTTTTTATCTGTGTCGTATCACAAGTGAAAAAGGGGCAAGGCTCTGAAATGTGCAGGTGCCATCTTGACTTTTTTGACACCTCCCACAAGAACGTTCCTGCATCCAGTGTTTGGGCCATAGAATTCCCTTCAAATCTATTTCAACAAGGCCTCAAGGCAGTGTTTTTCAACCTCAGCAAGTTTAAGGTGTGGACTTCAACTCCCAGAATTCCCCAGCCAGCATGCTGGCTGGGGAATTTTGGGAGTTGAAGTCCACACATCTTAAACTTGCCAAGACTGAAAACGTGGGCTTAAACCATGATGTCACTTGCATCAGCCAAACTCAGAGGCATTTTGAACACTACACAGCAGAAATTATCATTATTAGCCTACTCTGGGATTAGAGCTGGCTGGGGAATTCTGGGAGTTGAAGTCCACACATCTTAAAGGTTGAAATACACTGCCTCGAGGGCTGACCTTAAAGCTGATCCAAAGTTTGCACTAAACCAGTTCACAAAACACAGCATTTCATAGACTGGATTTTGTTGGCGTGGCACTCTCGTATTGCCCAATTTGCCCTCCTTTGGGGTCAAATGGTTTCAAAGACATTGGGGGAAATCACCCTCCCGTCGTTTCACTTCTTGTTTTCGGCTGCTCAGTGTTCACTGGCAAACTAAAATACATCAGTTTTAGTTTAAAATATGGGAAATTATTTTGGCAAAAAACATGAAGAACTTTGAAAGGCCTGACGAGAATAAATGTATTCAAATCTGCTCTCCCGTTTTAGCCACGCAGATGCTTCTCTTAAAATCTTGCCTCATTCTGTAAAAATGTCATTCTAAATAGCAATATTGAATATAGATGTTTGTTCATATTTCTCCATAAAATATACCAATACATGCCCACATGCCCACACTTCCACATCTCTCTCTCATTTTTTTTCATCTGCTTGCGGTTATGTTATTTCCCTTTTTCATTTAATTTCTGGCTGGCTGGTCTGTTGTTCCTGCACTTGATCCAGGCTGCTGTTGGCAGGGAGAGGACGGCACATTTGCTCAGCCCATTGACAGCTTCTGCAAGTTGCGTTTGATCTGGGTTTTGTCGCTGCTGCCGCTGTTGACATGTTGGTTGAAGTCTGCTTGGGCTCCGCTCCTCTGAGGAGGCACCTGGCATTTGGGCCACGTCTCTCTGCCGTGCCATCGTAACCCCCCTCCCTTACCACGGATAGGCTGGTACGCTTTGTGATTAAACATACCAACGGGGTCAGTTTTACGCCCTGGTGACATCGCGTACCTCCTGCATCCTCACGCAAGTGATGGGAATTTGGTCATTTGTGCAATGGCATCACGACGCAGCGGCCATTCAAACAGTTGCCCCCGGGTGCTGACTGGCAACCCCTTATGGACTTTTTGTGGAAAACAGAAAAAAATGAACTTACGATTTATGGGTTGGGTGATTAGAACAGATTATAGGAAGAAGAGAGACATGTTGTAACTTTGTGGAAAGAGGTCAACTGATAATTGCATTTATAATTGCTGTAAAGAAGATCGGAAACCACGTCTTCATATCTTCTTTCTTTCTTTTCTATTTTATTTTTTTCCCTTTCTTACACTTTTAGCTTTTTCTTTCTTTCTTTTTTTCTTTCTTTCTTTATATTACTTTGCATTAGTTTTTATCTTCTTTTTAAAAGCTGTTCATAAAACTGTATTAAAAAATAAACATAAACATTTGTCCCCGAGGAGGGTCAAAAACATCAAGACGGTGGCTGCGACTGCACAGCCAAAACCCCACCTCTTTTTTTACATGAGTTGTATGGAAAAGGGGGCCGGGCTTTAATTGCACAGGTATAGCCGCCATCCCAACTTTTTCTGAACCCCCACCCTGTGGACACCCCGGGAACCTTTTTGGGGGGGGAGAAGAGGAAGCTTGCAACCTCCCAGAAGATTCTGAAGGGCCCCCCCAGCAGCCTTCATCTCCAGAGAGCCAGAAGGCCCCCGCGCTGCCTCTTCTGCTCGACATCCAGGGACCTGATGGAGAGGAGCAATTAAATTAACCCAAATAGTTCTCCTCCAGCCCAAGACAAAACATGGCCTTGCAGCTTGACTAACCGCAGCGAGAGGTCTTGCTTGGGGCTCTGGGCGCTGGCCTTGATCCGGCGAAGCTGCCCTCTGCCCCAGAGACAGAGGCCCCCAGCAGCAGGAGAGACAAAGGGGTCGGACCCACGGATGGCCGGCCAGCCCCCGGGGTCTCCCGAGCCCTCAGTGCCCCTCTGCAGAGAAGAGGGGCAGGGTGTCGCAAGCCTGTCCTTGGGGTGGAAGTTAATCAGTTTCCACTGGAAAGTTCATCAACTGAATCATGATTAGATCACGTTCTCTCACCTCCGCCAAGCCCTCAAACTTCCCTGGGCTCCCCCCCACTTCATACACAGCAGAGTAGAAAACAAAACAGGACAGGCTGGCCAAGAGGCTTCACACCTCGTGCTCAGGAAAGTAAATTCTCATGAAATTGACAAGAACTCAAAGTAAAAATGGTATTTTACAATCTGAGAGCGAATAGAAGGCCCAGGAGACAGACTCAAAGAATTCTGGCTTCCAGGAACCGCCATCCATACCCCTCCAGGACGCTCACCAATGGGGGTTGAGGATTCACAGGTATACTGCCCCTGCTGAAGGAGGTTCCCCTAATTAACCCTTGAAAGCTACACCCGCTCAAAGCTTCTCTCCAGCTTTTTCAAGGGAAGAAAACCTCTTCCTCTCTTGCAAGGGCGTGAAGGCAAAGAGCCCCAGCAACACGTCGGAGTGCATCCTTCAAATGTCCTTACCGAGTTGTAACTTTTAATGTGCTGTAATTTTTGCAATTGTTAATGGGCATCCACAGGGCAGGGGTCAGGAAAAACGGTATTGTGTGTGGACCGAGCCCTGACTAGCCATTAGCCTTATCCTGGGCGCCATCAAGGGAAGCACAACACATACACAATGGATACTAACCCTCCTAACTACACCCACTGCTCTAAACTTAAGTAACACCTTCTGGCTTGTTCAGTCCGTTACTATCGTGGTGGTGGACATCCACGAAAAGATCTAACCTTGTCCATTTATTTCGCAGGCGTGAACCCAGCAGCTCTGCAAGAGCCAGGTCTGATCCCCAAAGCCGTGCACCGTGCACACTCAGCGGGACTGCCTGGTGTGCAAAAGCAAGCCCTCTCACTAGTTACCATCAGCCAGTAGAAGTTCATGCCCCACCTTCTGAGCTACCAAACTGGCACTTTATGCACTTCTAAAAATAAAGTCCCAGCAGCGACTGAACACTTACTTCCGTGACCGAAGTGAATGCATAAGCTCCAAATTTAAGTCAGGAAGGGAAATAAGCAAAACACCCATTAAAAAAGGCAATTCTGGCCCTTATGGGTAGGCCTTGTTTCTAAAAAGTTTGACTTTTTAATTCAGTAATTTTAATTAATGAATGGGGGTATTTATTTTTTAACTGTTTGTGGCCTTTACTTTTATTGTGAGCCGCCCAGAGTCACCCGCTGGGGTAGACGGGCGGCATGCAAATCTAATAAATAAATAAATACATAAATAAAAATCTTCCCCAGCGAAGTGACATCTCACCAAGAGTTGGTTTGCATGTGAGCAACTCAGGATGCCATGCAAAGTCAGCCATCGTGGTTGGCAACGATTTACGCTTCAACCCGCTGTGCCAACCCAAGTGGATCACAGATCATGTCTCGTGCTGTAAACCACGGTGAAGCGAGCCTTATCAGCATCTCTGCGGCCCGGCATCAGGCTGGAGGCGGCGCGGCAGGCTCCCTTACGGGCTTTAACATCCCAAACGGAGGGGAGAAGGGACGCTCCACCTGCGGGGGGGCAGAGTAAGGGAGAGGGGGGCGCTCCCCCAAAGTCAGCTGGATGGGGACCGGCCCGGGCCTGGGGAGGCTGACCCTGAGTTGGCAAGCGCTACACCAGAACGGGAGAGAGAGGGGCGCCCTCTGCACATGCTCAAGCGCACCCGCGCTGGCCGTTTCTTTCCGGAGACGCCCCGCGCAGGCTGCTCCGGCGCTCCCC